TACTCAACATATAATCTAGCAGTACAGCAATCAGGAATTGCTGAAACAAGAATACAAGATTATCTGAGAAACGCCAAAATAATAAAACCACAAATATATTAAAATGGCACAACTAGAAGTAAGATTTCCAAATCTAAAATCATTATATGGAATCAGAAACTTCAACGGAGAAACAGCAGAATACATTCAATGGAGAAATGAATTAGAAATAAAATTTACTGAAATGGGCATGGATAATACACTAACCATATTTGGAAGATTTAGTGAAAACCCAGACTTAGGATATACCATGCAACAACCTGATTATGATTCAGGAGCAGACTTGCCAAAAGCATATTGGAACATGGAATTCTTTAAAAGAATAAAATCAGTAATATATACAAAATTACATGAAGCAGCTAGAAGACTATTAACAACAAACCCAAATGTGAATTCTTACTTTAGAGTAATAGCAAACCAAAATGAATTAAATAATCTAAAAGATTCAACCAATTACCCAATAACAGCAGGAGTAAACTATGCTGTTGATAACTGGCATGATACAGGAAATGTAGGCAGAAGCCAATATACATACCAAACACCTCAAATATCATTAAGAGAATTATTAGATAATGCATATCTAACAGATGAAATCCAACTAGGAAGACAAAAAGATTTCCAAAATCTCATATACAAACCAGATTATGGAACTGAAAATGATGTAGATAACTTCAGAAATAGATATGAAAAAACAATGGCATTATCAAACTTCGCATATGCAGGATGGAACCAAGGAGAATATGCAAGACTATTAGATATGGTACCAATTACCTACAACTACCAAATAATGGCAAAGAGACCATTAAACAAACAAGCATTTTTTGAAGAAGTGAATACTATATTTCATGCAAAAAGGAATGAAATGATTTCAAAAGGAGAAATCAAGACAGGATCAAAAATCAAGATCCATTACTTTAATGAAAGAAAACCAATAGACAAATCTAAAGCTAGATGCTTTAAATGTCAACAATACGGACATTTTGCAAGAGATTGTACTAATGAAAGAAAAGAATCCTTTAACAAAATTGATTTCAGAAGAATGACAAAAAACTTCCCTAAACAATTCAAACAACCATGTCAATACTGCAAAAAGTTTCCACCAAGACATGAAAGAACATGTTCAAGAAACAATAGAAAATATTATAATGGATCAAGAAGTAATCAAATGCAAATTGGAAGATATAACAACAACAACAGAAATAATAGAAATAACAACAGAAATAATAATCGAAATAATTATCAAAACAACAACAATCGAAATCGATATAACAAAGGTCAAAAACCATCAAGAAGATATCATAATTATCAACCTGAAGAAAAGAAAAAAAATTATAAAAAACCTGAAAGAACTGACAGAAGGGAACCAAAAAATGATAAAAAGGATTTCAAAAGAAAAGAAAATCCAAAAAGATACAATCATTACAAAGAAGAAGACGATGAAGAACCTATAGCATCTTCCTCAAAAACACCTTCTTCCAAAACATATCTTTTTTAAATGGGAACCTGCATAGTGCTCAGGACCAACTCCCTAAGCAAGATAATGGCT